ATGAAGTAGTTAGAAAATGAATGGATGGCGTCGCTGTGCAGCATGCAATCTCTTTATCCCTGCTACTGCGCAACATTAAGTAACTCGATAAATAGCCCTGTATCAAATAAAGCTACAGCAGGCACAGGCAGGTAATTTTACATGCTAGATATCAACTGCTGATTGCTGGGGTGTGGCAGGAGGTTGGTATTATTCACAAAGCCAACTCTGCAATAACCGCGCAGCTATAGTGGTGTCTGCACACAGGCTACGACCTGCTCTGCAATACAGGCAAATATTTGGACAAGACTGCGTGCCACAGCCTGAGATTGGGTAGACCTGTCCACCCCCATCTCCACCATTCACCCGCCGTCTCCAGGCCAGTCTAGGGAGCGTGGCTAATCAGGGTTATGAACACTACAGCTGCCCTTATGAAGTCCCTGGAACACTAGGGCACCTGGAGAGCGGCCTGCTTCCGGCGCATCAATCAGACTCAGGCCTCCTGTGGGTGGGGTGTCTGTCCGTAACGACATAGTGGCAACTGCCCCACACCAGGGGATCGAGAAGGGGCAGAGATATTCTAATGAAGGGCACGCTAGCTGGTTCCCCTACCTCGGCACCGGCGCTCCTTTGTGTGGGCGGAAAGCTCTGTGCTCCAGCCTCTTCTCCCCCGGCAGGAGACAGAGGATTTCCTCCGCTCCGATCCTCCGGACAAGGGTGGAAGAGGCCAGAGGAGCTTCTCTGTTTCGATCGCGCCCTGATGCCCGTCTCCCTCAGGCAAGCTCATCCACCCCTCCCCACTTTTCAATAAGTAATTGTGTTCTGCTGGTGGCAGCTCTGCAAGTCTTCTTTTTTATACTTCAGCTTTATTAAGTGGATCATCACTTTCTTTACTTATTTGCCTTCAACATGGCTGGTAATTTTAGCTTTGAACCATTGCAGTTTTAGTTCAGATATTTTTGTTGGGGACTTTGCACCCCTTAGTGGAAGGGTGTCAAAAAACAACAGTGATGGATTGTGAAGGTTGGGGCATCAGACTGTTAATCGATGGCGTCTGCCCGCAGACCGGGCCACGCTGGGCGGCCGAGTCTCGGATCGCGCCAGGCACCGAGGCAGCCCTTAAATTGCAGCTTTAATGGAGCGCGTCAGATGATGGCTCTCAGCACACCGCTTCCCAAACGCATTTCTCCCGACCTTCGACCCCTTTCCTGCTGCCGTTGGCTCTCAATAGACTCTCTCAGGTCAGGAGGCCCCCTGCTCCGTCGGCAGTTCAGACATCACAGCTGCCTCAGCTCCTGCCTCTCGCCGAACGTCCAGAGCGTCAGAGGAAGGCTATCGGATGTCCTTAATTCACAATTCCAGGATGAATAATGTATTTGCAGCATTGCGTACACGCTCTCTACGAGACAGAGTGCTTTGCCCTTGTTGATGTCGTGTGGAGACTGTCTAAATAGTTCTCCATCAGCCGGTATCAAGTTTACAGCAGGCACGGCAGCAGAAGAAAAACACTGGAATATTTTAACGATGATCAAAGCCAGGCCTTTGCAAAACTGGCGTTACAGATTCCAGAAAGATGAAAGCCCGTTCTTCCCAGGGGCCTTGCTTTACTTGTACTGCCTGGGGGAGCTGTGGGCTCTGCTGGCTGTAGCAGCCTGTACTACTGTGCATCAGTCCCACAGAGGGCCAATACACAGACACACCCATTGCTCCTCCACCGTCTGAGGAGGCAGTCCCCTGCCATTAGAGCCCAGGGCACTGGATTTGTTGCTGCTAGGTAACCACCGCCATTCATGTACCCACCGAGACCTGTGGGCTGCCCATCAGGATCACGTCTGTGTGGACTGCACGAGCTGCACAATGGAGTGGCTAATGGATTGTAGGCAGGAGACGAGAAAGGGGAAAGAGAACCAATTATGTGGTAAAAGCAAAATGGCGTTTGGGGGGGGATTCCGCCCTGATGGATAACATTCAGGAACTCAATTCTAACGTCCTCTTTCCAAACCTTCCGGACATCAAGCCAAGCTTTGGTTCAAAAAAACCTACAAGCATCCCACCGCTGATCAGGCGTCGAAGCCTTCAGCCGAAGGAGCTCTGCGACATAAGCACACCCCAAGAGAGCTCAATCCACAGGTATTCGCAATCAAGTAACAAGACAAAACAAAACGAAAAACACATTCATGGCAGTACTTGTCCTACACATTGTCATTTTGACAAAACCCGTTAATACCACATGACCAAACGGAAATACTATGATTCAATGTCGTCCTTGATTACACCCATCTCTGAACTGACTCAGCCTGTTCAATCATGCCGGAACCAGTGCCACAAAATAACAAGAATCAAATGGGATCTAGCCCGTCTGATACAAGTCTAGAAGAGCTGAACCTTTTTAGTCTTGAACACAAACATTGTTTCCCTGTTAAAGAACAGGGAAACACAAACCGGAGGACATAATCCAAGTACATTTAAAAGAGAATTCAAGGAATTTCAGACCAAAGGCTGTGGGAATCTGGAACAAGTTACCCAGCCGTCTCATTGAAGCTGAAAACCTCCATCAGGTACTGCCATGTGACCTCTTGCTTGTAACCACTGTTGTGCTATACTAGGCAACTCATATCTCATGAGACACATCAACAGTAGGAGAGATCCAGGTGCGATTCTTTTATTAATAGGAAGCACGAGGTTTTTAAAATAAAAACACTCGAGACTGGCTGGAGAAGCTCTCGAGACGCACACAGCCCCCGACCGTTAATGACGCTCGCCGAAAGGAAAACGCGATGGGGACTGTGGCGAGGAACCGCAAGAGCCTGGACATCATTCGAAACTGTGCAAACACACAGGATCCCTTTAGTATTCTCATCGGAGCATTTATTAGAATACCCTGCAGCGGAGCTCTCGAGTTCGGTTGCCAGGCTTCGGGCTCAGCTGGTGTGACGCGAGAAGAGGGCTGACTCATCCATCTCAGAAACGCAGTGTGGGCCGAGAGGACAAAACAGGTGATTGACGCTCCACTGCTGTCACATCAACAGAACGGCTGTTGCTATTGTTAGTCTAACCTTTTTATTAATAAACAAGGCCAATCTCATCGTTGCCATAAGTACAACACTAAAACCCAACTACAGCAGCACCCATAAGCTTTAGTAGAATAATGTCTAAGACATTTTGCACTGCAAGCAAATTAAGGTTCCCATCCAATTCAAACTGAAGCTGTTACTTCTAAACAGGACATTGGTTTAATATTCAGGTTGCCCTTCTGGGCTGAACGCTAGATGGACGCCAGCTCATATTACAAGGTGCCAGAGAAATCAATGCTACCACTTGCTTAACAGCAACATCCTTCCTGCTGGAAATCCCCATCTCTGACCCTGCCACTCATAAAACTGAGCAGCACCAGCGCCAAGGAGATACAGGGCAACTTCAAAACTCTTCCCAAGGTGAAATGAAAGATGCACAGACATGACATGCAAGGTGGCGTGCTGAAGTATGAACAGGACTGCTGGTTTTAGTTTTTTGGATAAGTTCAAAATACTGTAACCTAAAAAACCAGAGAACCACTGCAAAACAGTTAAGAGGATTCTGTTGACCTTATAACCAGGTGTGCTACGAATTTAACACAGTAGGAGAAAAGGAAGACTACCCCCTATATATAAAAGGTCTATGAATTCTACAAAATGGATAGAATCGTGGTCAAGGTAAAAAAAAAACAGGACTTAAATCTTTGTTCTAAACTAAAGACAGCAATAGGGACAATCTCTCCCAAGACCCCAAAATCTTACAAGTTATGCTCTTATCCATGAACACATCTTTTGTCCCAAGAGTTCCAGCTTCCAGGTTTGGAGAATTAATCCTCTGGTAAAACCTTTTTAGACTGCAAACATAAATGGGATACCCGTTACTGCACCTCGACATACTAACAAAAAACTGCTTACTCTAGGGAGATGCTTTATGCACGTAAATGATTTTTTCTTGCTTCAGACTAGAGTGACGCCACTGTAACAATGAGTTTCTCACCATGGCCAGCTTATATAACAGAAAAGGAAGTAACTTCCAGCCCAACACAAAGAATCATTCTGAATAAAAATCCTTGGGACATGAAAATGCTTATGGGCCAGTAGTGGTGCCAAATCAACCAGGAAAAGTTTTAATACTCCATTTCAATGTTTGACTTGCACCTTTCTGCCACCTCCTCTGCATTTAAGTAGGGGTGCATTTTAGAAAACAGTAGTGTTTGTCACTTGGTTTTAACTACCCCAACGCAAATCATTCCCAGCTGGTGAAAACCAGTCCCCCAAGGTTAGCAATGTTGATCTCAACGAGAGCTTTAGTCTTTAAATTTCATGTGGGGAGCCTGTCTGGTGAAGAAAGGATGTGTAAAGCACAGGAAAAAAAACTAAACCTTGAGGGGCTGATGCCCTGCATCCTCGTGGGAAAGGACTGGGTGGTACATGTATAAACCTCTGTTAGCTGAACTGCAATTTCTGCAACAGGTAAGAAAGGTCAGAAATGAACCAATCAATCCAATTTAAAATCTGGACATTCAACCCTTGCAATCCCATCAGCATCACAAAAGTATATAACTGCTTGAGCTTCTATATAAAAGGCATGCACTCTTCCCACAAAGAAAACACTCGCCACATTTTTCTTTTAATCTGTCGTATGCGACTGCACAGTAATTAGATGCATAGATTGTTACAGGACTTCAAATGGGGGCTGTCCAAGGAAATGGGAGTCCAGCAAAAGATGCGGCCTTGTTCCCGAACTCCAGGTACTTAACATGGACGCTGCAAAAAACACGAAAGGCTCATGATGCTTTCAAACAAGATGGTGGGATTGGTTTTTGAGAGAGAAACAAGATGTGTGAAAAATGAAGCCATGAAAGAGAAAATAAAAGGAACAAAGCAAAACAATATCCAGTGTTCAACAGTAAAGGTTCCCACCCAGTCCACGGACCAGACTTTCCAAGGTAAAGCGGGATTTGAGATTAGAAGGCAGAAGTTTTGAATTACACAGTACACTGGAACAGCGGTTCTGACAAGTAAATTTAATTTATTCTGACATGCTAAAAGGGAATAAATTACACTGTTATAGAATTCCAGCAGTAAAATATCTTAGGCTGGGTCAGAGGAGTAATAAGGGAGAAGGACAGCCAGCTAACAAGTTACTGGTGTGAATCTGTTGTGGCTAAAGGCTGAGATTAACCTTTGCTTTCTTCACAAGACTCAGAAGTAAATAGAAAAGAAAACCCTCCAACAACGTTTTTTCCAAATTAATAAAAAAAAACTAACAGAAAAAAAGGCGCTGCTTCAACCCAGCAGCGCAATATTTCACGGTCGCAGAGAGAAAGTCCCAGAGATATTTTACAAGAGGATCCGCTCCACCGCAGGAAAAAACCAACAGAAACAACCCTTTCCTCAAAACGATAAAAATAAAAAAAGGGGAAAAGATACATCTCTATAAAACTGAAAAAAAATTACCTTTACTGATTTAAAAAAATGTATATATATATAAAAAAAGAATAGCATGATACCAGGTGAGTGGGGCGAAAATACTTTGTACATGTTCTTTTGTCTCACAGAACACTGAGGCCATCACAGCAATAAAATCAACTCTAACAGATGGCGTTTACTTCTTTCAATTAACATGCTGACATGTCCAAACAGAAAACCCCAGATCAATGTGTACAATTATGTTACTTGAGCAATTTACTGTACATACAGGTTTAGTTAAGAAGTGATGCCTAATCTGTAATGAATATGCCTGTTTTATTTTTTCAACTGTTTACCAAGTACAATACAGTTAATGCAGCGTTCTAAAGAGAAACCTAGTAGTCACTAGAATTTTTTTAAATCTTCACATTAGCTTTTTTATTCTAGCGCGTATCAGCAGGCAGAGTCTTATTTTACCATTTTTTTTTAAAAAAAAAGGTGCCCCGATGTTTGCTAAGTAATCTCTGAACAATGAATTCGATAACGAGGATGTGAACTGATGCCGGAAGGTTCACATCTTTCCATTTCTCTTGAGGTCAAGAACAAAAAGGGAAGAAAAAAAAAAAGGTGCATTTAAAATCTATGACATCCTGCTGTGAGGCCTGACTCCTCGGAACGCGCCTCGCAGCGGAGCCGTGCCGGAACGGGACAGGGGGGTCGAGCTTCTCCGATGGGAGACGAAGAAGAGGGGCGGGACAAACTCAAGCAGTTCGAGTCTGGAGAGAGAACTCAGGGAAAAATTGGCATGTGCACAATTATATTCCTCTGTGAGCCAACCACTTACACAGTTTTCAGCTTGAAGAAAGAAACAGGGAGAGACACCCAAGTCTTCTGGAACAGGACAATAGAAAAGGCTACAGCTTCAAGGCTCCATACATAGCCTGTTCAGTGTGTATATAGTATATACAAACCTATATATAGATAGATGCCTGCGCATATTATCTATATATACCGATTACATATATAATATATGAAACGAAAGTCCTTAAACAGCAAAAAATGGTTGCCCACAATGCCTGGCAGGTTCTTGTGAATTAAAATCCTAGATGCCGGGGAGTGATTAGAAGGCAAATCCTGCTACGACCATTCTGCTCTGCTTCATTACATCACCTTAATGCTTAGAAACCTGCAAGAGAAAAACAAAAAGGGGGGAGAGGATTAGGTCAAGACTTTGTGTCAAGGTGAACGAGCAGAGTGTAACAACACAGCACAACACATAGTAAAACCTCTGCCAAGGCCGCAGCTCTTTCTGCAACAAAAAGTTGTCTTTATAGAATACATCACCTAAAAACAAGAGAATATGAGATTAGATCCTGCAGAGAGGTCATGAGATTTCATTAAACATTTATATCAAGCTATAGTTAGAACTACTTAAAACGACCTCATTTCACATTCTATTTGAAGCAAGGTGGAAAGGCTCGTCAAAATCCTAAATATTTCTAAAGAACGTAAGAAAATGTAGTAAGCAGATTAATTAATAAACCCTGTAATACACCACCAATAATGATCAAGAAAAAACAGCACTGAATGTATGAAAGTCCAACTCAAGTTTAACCTAATTTAAGTAGTTACACTGGACGCACCAGTGCAACATCGTGACCTCCATTCTCAATCAGGGTGTCTTACTAAAACTGTAAACCACTACTGGAGAGAGGTAGTCCTCTGTTGAACCAATGTCCTTCCTCTCAAGTCAAGATCAAACAATGAAGACGATGAAAATGCAGCATGTTAACCTGGTTAAAAGCGTCACTACAAATCATTTACGAGTCTTCACGAAGTAAGCGATCACTGGGCAAAAACGATGAATTCCAGATTACATAAAAATATGGGGCGTTTAAGACTTGAGGCCCAAGTTCAGATATGGAATTTATGCAACATTTCAATTTTGGAGCAAAACTGTAGAACTCGGGACCCCCACGGTTTCATGGGTCAGGGGAGGAGTCGCACTACAGACCAAGGCGCATGCCTGGCATACCTATCCGAAACAGCTGTCTTTTCAGGAATTTGCAGCAGAAACAAAAGGGACGTGAAGGATCTATCCAACGGCTCCGCAGCAGCTCATACTCCAGCAGTAAAGCATACCTCATACCAAACAGATTTTGGAAGCAGAATCTTTACAGCCCTTCAATACAGCCCGTGACGCAGAAGGCAACGACGATGTTTCTGCTTCTGCTCCCACTGTCCCAGATAGAGACAGCACCAAGCCCAAATGGCTTTGACAATGGCTACGCAGTGACAAGGGCTGCAACACAGACCTGAGCATCCACTTTCCCAAAAGTACATTCCCGACAGCAACCAAATCTTCCGTTTCACACGAAACTATTTACGCTTTCAAAGCACGTAATCAGGTCGGTAAATTAATGGGTGTTCTAATCAACAGGGCAGAAACACAACTGAATGCAAAGGCCCCAGGCTCTTCCAGAGCCAGCCCATAACTCATTAGCGGTAAAACAGTAATGGGCAGACTGTTTACAGACAGAAGTTACAATCCAATTCACGCTAGAGAAAAACTGCAAAACAGAATTATCTAAACAATTCCCTGAATAAAAAGACTGTTTTAAGAGATAAGGCTTAAGAAACCAGTAATTTAACTTCCCTTCGAGACGCAGGATGAAAGACACCAGTGGCTTGTTGAATCCTCACCCAGAAATGTTACGGCACACAAGCCTGTACATGAACACGCCAGTGCAGTGAAGTTTTAACTGTGGTGCTTAGTGTGTGGATCTTGACAGGCTTTTCTGGCTCCCATTCCTCTGACTCAGACCCAAGCAAGACCGCTCAGCTCAGGCTTCAGAGAACAGTTTGATCTGGCTGCAGGCAAAGTGAGGCTGCGGATTGAAGCCTCAGAACATTTCAAGCACACTGCAGTGGTATGTGAGAAGGGAGAAAGAAATCCAGGTGGAGTACACACTGATTGCTGGAGAGCTTGTTTGACACTCCTTCGGTTTTAAGCGGCAACATGGATCTTCCAATATCCACCCCAAAAACAACTAACATTTGTATAGGTCTTGAGATGCAATGAAATTCTGAAAAACCTCGAATTCAGCACTGGCTTTAAAATTCAAAATCCAAAGGTACTTCATACCCACATTTCACTATTTATGTCAGCCTACCTGGAAACTGTTTTAAAAGCTCAGCTAAGTCAAAATTTCCAAAAATAATTCAATATAGGTGATACTGACCATCAATTTCCAAATCCAAATTATATTTTCAAAAACCTAACCTTGTATAGTTAGAAACAGCAATTAGACTGCCTCTGCTGTTTTATAAGTATTGTGATTAGATAATGGAATGCACTCATGTTTATAGAAAATAAATTAATCGTTGCCTAAGGCATGGAAAGTTTCATTGTGCCAAATAATCTAAAAGGTCCTTAACTCCTTTGAAAATGACCTCTGTTTCAATTATGAGATGGAGACTGAAATTAATTAAGGAAAGAGAGTAAGCAATATCTCCGTTTTCCATAAGCAAAGGTGACGGTGCAAGCATTCTCAAGAAACGGTCTCAAACCACTGAGAGTATGGATATAACACACTAAGTTTTAAATCTCAACCTGGCATTTAAAAAGCTGGTCCGGGTTAAAGCTTCAGTTCAGGTTAAGGAGATTTCAGGATTAAGAATTTATAGGCCTCTAAACACTAACACTGGAAAGGATCCTGGATTAGCAATAAAATAAACTGGACCTCGATAGGAGCAATTAAAAACACTGCACCATCCACTCTATTCATATTTGGAGTATACAAGATGACCCTTAAATTCACTTCAATGTACTTTCACCAGAACAGAGTTCTTCCAATTTCATGTCTCGGTATCGGCTCATTAGATTGGGGAAGCTAGATAAAACTGTGCAAGGCCAGCTTCCTGAAATTGACCTGAACATGGTCTTTTGAGGTCCTGTTCTTTAGGGCCAACCAACGGTCATCACAGTAATTTAAGGTTTACACTTTTATGAGTAGCAGGTCGCACTGTTTCGGAAAACTAGAAACTGCAAAGGAAGTACACGCCAAGTTTCTCTACGCTAAAGCTGTTCATAAAGCACTCCAAAAGGTCAGACAATTAAACCTTTAAACCAAATGAACTCCACTTCTTACACGAGTGTAAAAAGGCAGGTGAATCTTCAGAAATCTAGTGCAATCCAACAGATGCTTGGTGTAAGATCAGCTGACCACAAGTTAAACGGCCATGCGGTAATGCAATCAGACTGAAATTATTCACTCTGAACAAATTTCATTTAATACTTCTTCATGGGGTAACTACGCAAGAAGGCTGTAATACAAAGCCACATTAACAATGTTGGTATTGTTACAAACCTACTGTAGTGGGGAAGCCAAGATGGTATCCAGGAAACCAGCAATACCTTCCAAACAAAGTCCTTTCAAGCTCCAATACTCTAGAGCTTTGCCATTTAAAATTCCTGGCTAAAGAGCTTCGCTTTACAGGCATGGAGGGGTTGTTAGTTTAAATGGGTCAATATGCCTATAACAACTAGGAAAGGTGCAGTGAAACCCAGCTTGTTTTTAAGAAAAATTAAATGCCTTTAAACAGATTTTCAATTAAAGTCAGAGTCCTAAAGAAACATGAAACCAAGGTTTGGGAGAGAGGGTGTGGAAGGACGTGTGTCAATTTTTTTATTTGACCTTGCGCGTTTAAAAAAAAAATCTCACGTCAGCAAAACGCTCTCAAACTCAAGTTCAAAACTGGCAATTTGCTCAGCTTTGTGGACAAAAGCATTCTAGAGAGGTTCCAACAATGGTTACCAACATTGCAAAAACAACTCAAGGACAGCGCAGATGAAGGGTTAGTCCACTGCTACATCAGCAGTTCTATTTGTGGCATAATTTTTGTATTGTTTATTGCCTTTAACAGGAGAAGTGCAATGAATTATCAGCAGTATTAAGAAGAGTCCTTTCTCCTGTGATACTGTAATGTCTTTCAAAGCTTCAAGGAAAAGTTTGCAAAATGCAGACTGAACTGACATCAGCAGAACGGAGAAATCTTTTTCGTTAGCTTGGGACATTTTCCAGAATTTCATTAAGTATCACCAGGAAATGCTGCAGGCAGCTAGCCAGTGAAATGAGCTAAACTTACTTTGTATCTATACAAGGAAGCTGTACAGAAACATACTGGCAGGGTAACTGGAACAAGGTAAAAACATCAGATACTTTCACACACATGAAAACTGGCTTTCGTACATTTCTTCAGTAGAAGAAATCTCGATCTGTTCGAGAAGAATGGCACGTAAAACTAAACCTAAATGCAGACAAATGTAAAGAGTCTGACAACCATTAAAAATCGCAATGAAACTCAAACTACTACAATGTAATGTAAACTAGTTCAGGCAGTTTGGATTAACGCCAGTTCAGAAATGTAGGTATCCAGTTAAGCACTGAGGACCTCTCCTTAAACACATGCTGTTTTAGTAGAACTGACAGTAACAGAACTCCAGATCGAAGGAGCCATCTATGCATCAGCTTTTCATGCAAAACCTCAATTAGGGCATCACATTTTCTGCAGAGCAGAAAGGGCTGCGATGAGAATAGCCCACCCAAACACTCAGCACAATCCTGATAAACAGCCTCACCATGCGTGCAGTATTACACACAAGGCTCCTAAGGGGGTGGTCGAGCTGTGCTTAAAGCCAGGAAGAACGCAAAGAAGGGGGCATGTGAGCCAGCACACAGACTCGCCTGCTCAAATGACTTAAACCCAACAAGGTCGTTTCCATGGGGAGGACTGATCAAACATTTGGCCCTTCACATGGTGTCTTTCACACTGTAGCAGTGAGCCTACAACAAAGCTGCACAGACATCGCTGGCTCAAAGATTTATAGCTCACAGAAAAAACCAAGCCACGCTGCAATCTGGGGATTAAATAATACGACAACCAGGATTGTTTTCACGAAACCGGCTCACCCTGCAGGGAGCGTATTGATAAATCAGACAGTAAGATGCAAAGGCGTGGCAGATATATATTGGATCACCACCGCCCACCTTTGACCAAGCAGGCATTTCTTTTAAAGCAGCATTTAATGAGGCTTCGACTGCAGTATTGAGAGCCACTTCAGTACAGGGAATCTGACAAAGAAAAATTAAGATCATTAGTCCGGAAAACCAACCAAAACCTGTGGGATAAGGCGGATCATTTTTTTAACTGTAACATCACTCCTTGCTGATTCACCAGTATCTTGGCAGACAGATCTCTTCTTTCCAGCTGTGAAGGAAATATTAATAAGGAATCAAAAAGAAAATGTTTAAAGTGGAATTAGAGGGCAATTATCAGACATTTTACTTCTGTTACAAATCCCTCTATTAATCAATATTATAAAGCACAAGCCAGAAATGCCAGTGTTAGTAATAGGTTAGAATCTCACTCCCATGTTCATCCATTAACATCTTATTATCAGACATGCATCTGTATGCCAATCAAAACTAACAAGTGTTAGGTCCAGGAACGATGATTGGAATAATTCTCTATCAATGTTATCCCATTTGGAAAGAGGTTAATTCAAGGAAGGGATAATTTAATGTTTTTTTTACGTCCAAAAACAAATATAAAGCAACCCTTTTGTCCCAAAGAAGAAGAAAGACATTTTGGTTCAAAGTTAGTAGTCAAATTTTCCAAGGACGTCTTTGCATCTGCAAGACAGACCAACTGAATTTTTGGGTGTCTCCTTGATCTAACACCGTTTTTCATTGATCTACTAAAAAAAATGAATTTGGGGTACAGAGAGTGTTCCAAATCCAGTTTTTTTAACCCTTTGCTTTGAAAGCAATTGGCGTCTCTGTTACTGCACTCAAAACGTCGCTTGGCTCTTTGCTACTAACCTTTCATGTTACTCTTGGGTTTGTCAGTTTGCTTGCCTGTGGGGGTTTGTGCCTGCTGCCCCTGCCCCCCCGAGGAGGCTGCCTGTTGGGCGGCTTTCTGCTTCAGCATGGTCCAGTCGAATGTGTAGTCATACTGGTGATTCAGGGTCCTGCCAGAGAGACCAGCACAGATTAGCGCTCAGAGGGGCTCAACAGGCACTCTCCCACCAGCCTAGGCCAACTCCTGCAAGCAGCACACTTAAATGAGTCCCATCACGTCAAAGCACACATTACAGTGAGGCTGTTCAGATTTAACATTTTTCAAGGAACCAGAGAGAAATCTGATCCTGGCTATTGTCTGGTGGGGTTGCGAAAAACTCCGCTTTAATTTTGAATCACTTGAGATGAAAAGGGCAAACCTGAGTGGTGTGGGTGCAACCGTTCAAGGTACAATAAGACTGAACATTTTCACAGTGGCAACGGGAGGAAAACCCCCGGGAAATGAGAATAAGACTCCCACAGCATACCTGCCATCGCAATCGCCAGTGGCCAGAGATTTCTTACAGACCTGAAAGCATTTCCAAATAAATCTCATACATTGTTAAAATGCTACCACATGGCCATCTCGTAACTCCATATCTTAAGTTACATACACATATTTAATGTAGCATTATGTAAGCCACTTTTGTCTTCCCCCAGATAATGCCTTATACATTTCTCACTCACTGTAAAATGCCTGAAACTAGACACGTTCCTATGCGTGCGTCACTGCTCTCTGGGGAAGGACTGCAAGCCGAGACTCGACGTTAAGGAAAAGGGCTACGAGGGCGAGTAATGGTGAGCACCTGAAGAGAATGCGGAAGAGCTGTCGCAGGTACATGTAGTCAGGCGCCTCCTCGAACCGCAGCCCACGGCAGTAGTTCAGGTACATGGCAAACTCTGCCGGGAAACCCTAGACAAAGGGATACGTGAAAAACACGATTAGGGCTCTCTCTTCAAGCCTCTTCACCCAGCCAGCTGCACAAGGGGAAAGAGGCAATGTGCAGGAGAAGTCGGGCTCTCCCAGAACACTGCCAGAATGGAGCCCCCAAACCCTGTACTGCCGCACAGGTTCGAACCACAGCCTCCAGGAGCCCAACGCCTCTGCACCCCGCTCTCCGGGACGAACCCGCCCAGAAGCCGTTTCAGAGGCACAGGTAACACGAGTGCTTGTCAGCCAGCAGATGGCAGCGTCACCCATCACGTTTCCACTCCCGTCCTTTCCCTCGCAGCCCTGTAATCTCACGCCCCACCCCACCCTCTCTATCCCTTTGGTTCAGGCCTGCGAGCACAGCTGCTTCACCGAAAGCGGGAATTACATGACTTTGTCACTCCACTCCTGCTTCCACCTTAACATCACTATAAAATGGAAACAAAAACTCCGCCCTAGATCCACAGGATCCAGAAGTGCTACATTTTCATTCTCACATCTAAGTATTACAGCCAATAGGCATTTTTAGACACTCCTGTAAACGCATACATTCCTAGCATTCTCAGTCGCATCACAACACTTCCGTGTCCCTGTTTGAGCAACGGATTACCAAACAACGTCAGTCACTTACAGTTTTAGAAGTCACATGGTAGCACACTGAGGAGTGGTTAAACATGTACTTAACTACCAAACACTTAATTCTGTTGGCAATGACAGAAATGGACACTACATCAGGTTGAGGCCTAGCAACACATACGGATTCATGGGACAGTAGCATCTCTGAAGTCAGCCCATGATCTCATCCTGCTACATGCACGAGACTCCCGCACAAAGCCACAGTGCGTGAACCAGAGCTCAGAGCACAGCTCAGCTTGAAAATGTTAACCTGCGGCACTCAGGGTACCCGACTTGATATTTCTTCTCTGTGCACATATGCACAGCTTCAAACTGCCAAGAAGCAGCGCTTCATTTTTCTGAAAACGAACCAAGACCCGTCTAGCAAGTTAGAATAGCTCAGTAACATGGTCTTCTATATAATCCTTCCTTAAGGGCGGACTGTTCCAACACACACCAGCTCACTGTGGATACTTGCTAGGGTGACACAAAAGGCCAAAAGCCACAGGATGTTACAGGTGGCACATACCTTACACAAGACTTCAACAGGAGTCGACATCTTTTTCTCACTAATCTTCTCGTACTTCTGTTTCTTTGTGGCAGCCTGTGGAACATGTGGGCGAAAAACATGAAAATGTTGTGCAACACCAAAATAAACCGACATGTTGCCCTTTCACCCATGTGGAACAATCCCACAGTCGAGAAGATGGAAGTTATGAATGTCTTTAATTGTCGCTGAAAACAGTCGAAGCATTAACAGCGGTGTGGTCTTGAGCATGGGCCTTGATCCTTTGCTCACACGGTCGTCCATGTGTGCTGGACCACTCTTTTACAACCTTAATCCACTACCAGTACAGCGAGCTGCAAACTGCAACATTTGCCCTGTCAGAGGATTTACATTTCAGCACTTGTCCAGTGCTGAAGTTCTATTTAATCTAATTACACTAAGAAGAATCTCATGCAAATGCTAATTTTTAACCCTCCACAGGCATGCAAAGCCTACAGAGAAACAGAGTTTTACATTCCAGTGTGACTATAGAAAATGTCTTACAAGAAAAGATGCCTACAGCATCCTCAGTTTTGCTTTTTAAATAAGAGCTGACATCATTTCGATATTAAATCGTTACTCCGTCACAGAACTGCAATGCAAACCTGGAAAGAGAAGGGCTGTTGAGACTTGTCCTTTAAGATTGTCAAATACACAAGCCTGACATTATCTGGGAGCCCTAGGGTACCTGCCTGTCCTACCTTTAATCCCTGCCAGGGCAGGCTGGTTCTATTGAAGTACATCAGCACGTATCCTAGCGACTCCATGTCATCTCGGCGGCTGCAAAGACAAGGATTTTAAGGCTTAAAATAAGACAGTACACCATCTCAGAATACTGCTATTTTTAGCACACAGAGAACTGAGCCAGTTACAAAAATAGATACCCAAAAATAAACATGATACTTCTTAAATTTATGCCATAAAGAATACTGTAAAACCGGACCTGACTGCAATGCAGTACTGCTCTTCTAACAGACCTTTCAGTTCAGTTTTAGAAGCGATTAGGAAAACGGTTTTAACACACCTAGCAGCACTATGCAGTATATTCAGCTTTGATATTAAATTGGCTTACTGGTTACAGGAGATGCCAAGAAGCTGAGTAACTGCAAACATGCATTCTGACGGCTGACATGACTGACAGCTGAACCTGTGTTCTCACAGAACAGTGACAAAGCCTTACTGACAACATGTGGGATTCTGGGTCAATGGAAACAGCAGCTGTTACTGGTAGCAGGAAGCACCCATAGTCAGAAAAAGCCTCATCAGACAAGGCAAAACCCCTCTCTGACATATGGCTGAGCAGGGTTGTTGAGTATGCAAAACCTTGTTATGCATGCAGGGTCTACAGGCAAGACTAAAAAAGACAAGGTCTACACTGACTGGCTGAGGAACCAACCTTTTTAGTCTTGAACAGCACAGACTACGAGGGCACCCGATTCAAGTATTAGAAAATCCTTAAGGTCACTGACAAAGTAAGCCTAGTGGATTTCTCCAAACCAACAGTGAAACATGAACCAAAAGGCACAAGCGGAAACTACATTTCAAATTAGCTTAGAACAGGAGGCATGTCTTTATTCAAAGTATTGTGAAAGTATGGAACAACCTGCTCACTCTGTCAGCTGACATCCTGCCTTCCTTTAAGAAACAACTGGGCAAGATCAATTAGCTACTGACTATGAAATAGGTGAGATGAGCCAAATGGTCTCCTCTCATATGTAAGTACTCTTGTTTCCTACATCTTTGTGGCTGAAATAGACGTGGAAGTTTAAAGGCAGCCCTTAATACAAGATCTAACCCAATGTTTCAGTTCCAGATTACATACGCTCGGGAATCACATGCAGCATCACCACTGTTCTTACCTCTGCTCGATGCCCAGGTGTGCATTGATGCTGGCATAGCGAGCTGTGCCTGTGAGGTTTTTGTCTTCTCTGTAAGGTATGTGTTGTCGTGTTCTGTTGTCCCGGTATTTTTTGGCCAAACCAAAATCAATAAGAAACAACTGAAACGAAAAGAAAAAAGATGTTCATGGAAAAGGGGCATTATTTTTTAAAAGTCTGTTGTACTTTACAACAATGTACAGAACAACCTGAAACTTTCTGGCCATAGTAGATCTTGATCAAAATGTTATTCAGTAAATGTGAGTTTAAAAGAACTGAACAAAAACCTCAAACCAAAAAAAGCAATTAGTACCTTTATTCTTGTGTTCTAGAAATGCAAACAAAATCTGAATTACACAATTTAAAGGTTTACTTTAAATTTCATTCACAAAATCCAGAAGCTCTATAGTCAACACTTCTCAAACTCACTCCATTTTACACCTACTTCAAAATTTCCCTATTGCAGACTTTTTTTAAATTTTCAAATTTCATCACCAGTACCAGTTAAATCTCCATGCCTCCTACTTCATGACTAACTAGCAGCAATGCAGCTCACAATGTAGAGAAGGAAGCCAACATCCTAAACCACCACATACCCAATGCACTAAGAGCACGGTCATATAACAAATCCAAGGCCTCTTCAGAGTGTAAAAGGGATGACTCCCTTGACTTCCGAACACAGGCTTGACTGCTAAGGAAACATCACATTACGGAAGTTTTCTCTGGACCAGACCGCTATCCTGCGTAAGAACGTGTGTGGGCAGCCGTAGGGAGTGCATCTTCACCGAGACGGGGCGATCGCATCGAAACATACCCACTCAGCCGTGCTGCTCTGCTCACTTAGCTCGGCCCGGGACTCCAACCTTACTTCCTCTTGTCAAGAGGATGTGTCGCGCTCAGCGAGAACATTCCATTTAGAGGCCACTATCCGAATATCCAGTCACACGGCAGCTACAGGCGCATGTTAAGAGTCCCTGCTGCTGCAGTTGCATACAAAAGTACATCATACACAATCCTTACTAATCTGGATCCTTCTAAAGACCTTACTCACACTGTGAACATTTTGGTGCATGTTTCCACACAAAGTCATGATTCAAGAGTCATAAACAGTTACTGGCAGAATAACAGGCAGGGAAAATGTGATGTCCTCCCTTTCACTTACATGCTGTGTACCTCAAAAATACTCTTACCAGTTGTAAGGTGTCAAAGCACAAGGATGGGAAGGATATGGGTGCCTATACCAAGTGACACTTATTAACAAAGACATCTTGGTGATGGCACATGTCTTAAACTTTGAAACCAAAATGGAGTCTTAAAATTTGAGAGCAATACATTCTAGTTCACAACTGGATTTAGCATTACCCCCATCCATCCAGTAATGGAAGCTGGGGAGAGCGGAGAGGAGCTGGTTTTAAAGATTTAAAAAAATCTATAAGGGGAGATGAATATCATCTTTATCTTGGGACAGGCTGCTGCCAATATCCTTGGAAGGAGGAAGGCGTTCACATTCTAGGCTCCCAGGACTCAAGTTCCTTAAAAACAAAACTGTTTTGCTGGACTTGTAAAGGTCACCATGTGACTGCGGTAAGACACATGCAGCTGGCTGACACAGAAGGGGGTATGGTATGAAAGGCTAGCTTGTCTGACAGTAAAATAAAGCCATATAAAAGTACAAGTTCTGAAGGAAAACTAGTCGTTCAGCCTCCTGCTTCAAGAGGCTACAGTGAATTCACCGCTACAGAGTGGACCAGCAGCAATACTATGTAGGTAGTGCTTCCTTTGGTATGTTATGACCTACATTTGTCGAATTAATTCCAAAACTGCTTGTATAAGACACACTGTTAAGAATGATCTGATAAGGTCACTGAAAGAACTCCAGTAAGTGTCCGCTGATCAAAGTAAGAAAGAAAGGTTCAGTTACTGAACCTAGCTACTGAAGTTACTGAAAACAAAAAAAATTTCCCAAGAATGGAAAACCCAAAAATAATTTAAGAAGCCCAAAAAAAAGCAAAAAGGTTACAATCAAGCCTTCCTTTCTCTTCACTGAAATGTGCTAATTCAGAAAGAATAGCCAACATGTCACCATCTGATCAAAAAAGAGAGGAGTGTGGGATTTGCTACATATACTAACCAGCAAGACCTGGGAACTAACGAGGAACATCATGCAAATCTCAGGTACAAGCCAGTCCCAACACTCTTCTTTCTTTTATTTCTGCATTTAAACAGAGCAATGCTGTCTTCTATCCAGTGCAAGAATCTAAAAATACTACTGAAAACAGAAAACTTTCCTCCAGGCCTTGCATTACTAGGAGACAGCAAAACAAACTAAATTTATAGAGACATCATGTAATTACATTTCAGATGCTTTTATCTCCTTTCACACATTTCCACAAAGAGGGAATAAAACAAAACCAACCAAAAGGGGCCCCAAAACCGAAAAAAAACCTTTTAAAACAAATTAAAAAAAAGAGATTGAGAGCCCCAGAGCCAAATTTGAAACCCAGCAGGAGTATCCTCAGCTGCACATAAATAATGGACTGTTTCAATCCCACACGACAAAAACTGGGAAACTTCCCACGGGCCGCCGAGCTCTGAGGAAGATACTGGGCACGTTCACCTGGTCTCATCCCCAGCTCACACAGGCAGATTCCCAGCAGCCCTGCCGATCCCCCCCTGCTTTGCCGTCAACGTTCTGCGCACCTGGCCGGGAGCCAGATGCAAAGCGAGACCCTGACGTCAGCCAGGCTGCGCGCTGCCTCCCCGCAGCTGGTTCAAACCAGCTTCACGCCGCCTGCGGGCAGAGCGGGTCACGGGGAAGGCTGCTTCCTGCTCAGCCCCCTCCTCCTGGGCCAGCTCAAGCCCCCCCCCCCCCCTCCCTGCTAGGTGTTGAGCACATTACCGCCAATGTACCCCAACAAACATCACATTACAGAGCAGGGTTACAACTCACATCTGTCACCTATTCCTCCACTATAAAACACACTAATGCCAGGGTGATCTAGATTTGATCTTTTAAAAATCCACTTTTTTAAGCCTTATGCATAAACCGACGTAACCTAAAGAGGAGACCCTGCACACAACCTAATTTATCCCTCAGTACATTACTCCACTGGAATAAAATCCTACTCATGGTAATCTGCAAATCAGTCACACAAAAAGCTTGTATAATTCCAAATAAAGTTTTCATAGTATAGTATGGAAATTTCAGAAAACTTGATTTTCGTACAAAAAGGATGTGTAACTAGCAAGTCACTGACATATATCCATTCCTACCAAACTCAACTTAACTGCACATTTCAATTTTAGTTCTATTTAAAGATATGGGAACTTTCCAAAGCTTTCCATGAAATGTAACCTCATCACCTTAATGACTACATTAGTCTTCCATAATGACAAACATCATTTCCAAAATCCCAACTGAGTGCCACCACTGAAACAAAACCGTCACAAAATAAATAAACAAACAGATGTAGAATGACTTTTAGATAAAAACGTGAACCTACAATACTCCAAACAACCCAATACACCAACATAATCCACCTTACCTCCCTTAAATCATGTCCTACATCTAAACATAGAAGCTGCAATCTAGATTAAACGTTAAGCCCTAGATCTGTTTAGCATGTGTGTCTGGATTAAATGCCAACAAGTGTACATTTTATTGATTACTGATCAAATTATAAACAGAAAAAAATAAAGCCAAAGTTAATTTGGGGGAGTATTAGGAAACGGTAGGTGTTTCAGACCTGGTTTAATCCTGAGAAAGATGGGTCCTGAGAAGAACTAACAGCCACGCTTCTTTTCCTCTTCCCCACTGGAGATTCTAAACACTAAACAAACAATAGAGGGTGCAGTGCATCAAACAGTATTGCTGACAACCCCACAAGGCCAGCGCAGACAGGCAACACCAAGGCTCAGAAAAAGAACGGAGCAGAAGAGGAGGAAAAAGCCCAAAGCCATCCTTCTCCCAGTACAAAGCACTCTAGTCAACCCAAGAGAGAGCTCTGTTAATCGCCTTTCTCGGAGGACCTAACCTTGCCTCGGTCACAAGCCCCAACATTAACGCTTCACCAAGGCTGAGGGCTAGGAGGTCTGCGAGCTGCGCAGATTCAGCCTTTTCGTTTTAAAAGCCACCCTGGCACAAGAAGAGTTTGCTAGGAAATTCAGTCACCCCTCCCCCAGCTACATGCACCTTGGTTACAGAACACTTCCAAGCCTGTTCCTCTTTTTTTACTTTGCAGAGGCTTCTGAATGATCTCAGCCTTTAACACTAGCAGTGCCACCTGATACGCAAGCTCTCTTGGAGACTTTCAATGACGACGTAACACGATCAAAAAGAGAATATAAGCAGCTCTGCCCATAAGCAGAAAACAAGCTGCAGTTGAGCACAACTAGAGTTAAAGGGCCTAATTTTCAGTCTATTCCTTACAATGGGCACCCTCAGATTGCATTAGGCATGAGAAACTTTTTAAATTAAACTAACAAAATTCCCCTGCCCCTTCACTACCCCCATTAATCTTTCCTTAAAAGCAATGTATGAAATGATGCCTTTGGCTTTTAAGACAGCACTGAAAAGGTGAGACACCTTCAGTAAGGAAGAGGGCAGAAGGCTTTTTGGCACCATTTGTAAGGACCATCAAGCTGACTAACATGCAAAGAGAAGCTCTAAAGAGCAAAAATAAAAAGCATGCAATACAAGTAAGAGCATGAATTAATCTGTAAATTTACGCATCAGATTTAGCACAGCTAAAAAAAAAGTATGACAGGAGCGCTTCTGGGATTATCATGTTGAAACCCTGGCAGTGGTATCTACTTAGGAGCTTTCTAGAAAGCAGTAAAGAAGTGAAAAAAGCTTTTAGCCTAGGATAATGCCAGGCTGAATGTTACTCAATGGCACAGCATGGAAAATGGTACAGAGAGATGACTATAGGGAAGTGGGCAGAGGAATGAATGTTCCCATTTCATCTTTAAAAAAATCACGCTCATCATTACATAAATTCTCTTTCCTCTACTAGGAAAACATGAAAGCAGAGGATGGACCAAAGCTTTCTAATCCGCTAAACTGTTTTTTTTTTTCTGCCTATGTGCAATTAGAAGTGAGCGACACATAGGGAGATGATCTGATGTCATATCCCAGCTCTATCATGAGAGCCCAACGCAGATGTGCTCTGCAGCACTTCACTTGGCTGGAAAAATAGAGATGAAACCCTTGGCATCACCTCCGTGACACAAAATCTCTAACTTCCCAGTTGGGAGGCAATAGAGGAAAAAGAGAAAAGCCTGGGGTATAGTTTGCCATTAAAAAAAAAAATTACTGCATCATAATGAGCAACTGTCCACTGCAGGACGTTAACTAGGATTCTCTCTAGCTACAGTCACTGGTCCTCTTCATGTTGGAAAAACTTTGTTAAAAGTTGGCAGGTAAAAGGGAAATGGGTGATAAAAGTTAAAAATGAAGGAGAACAGGACAGGTGGAATGAAGCGAAGACAGACGGGTTGTCGATTTGACGGCAGAAGAGTGTGGGTTTCGCAACAGCTGCTCAACATTTCGTCTTGACATCAAGTTCTCTCTCTCAGCACGTAATCTGCTTCAAGATCTTGACCTCAGGGCGATGGAGAACAGCTCTGGACATCAAAGGGACTGAACATTCATTTTGTGGAGAGATCCTTAATGGGGAACAGGGCTTTTTGGCAGACACGGTCAATAAAGGAATAAACTAAATTTCATAAATATATAAAAAAAGCTTGAGGCTGGCATTCACACAGACACACAATGGTAAACACTAGTTTCAGACAGCACTGCCAAAAATGGTCATACAGGCTTTGATGGTACAGTATGTGACAAGTATTGATCTTTGTCCTATAATTAATCCTGCTTTGAAAAGTAAGATACAACACAAGAAGCTAATCCTGTCCTGGTACTGGTGCTTCCAGTTTAAAATATGCATCATGCTTTAACTTTGCCAAATGTTGCCTGTCTGCAAGGGCTCAAAATAGAAGTATTTAAAACAAAAATAAAAATCAGGCAACTTAACTTTAGATACAATATATAATATCACACACAAGAGACCAAGTGATTTTCTGCAGGAAAAAAAATAGGTATGATTACAAGTAGAGGCATGCAGAAGGCTGTTATTCCTGCAAAAGCTATCTTTGAAGGCATGAAAATAAGCAATCAATGTTGCTTTGTTTAACCAAAATCATCACAAAGCTCACTGGGTATACTGAGCATCAAAAGCACCCTAGGTTGGAAAGCATCCATTCACAATGTTTTAAAATGCCCTGATCAATTAGGAATACTATATTAAAAACAATAAGCATGATTAAATGATAGCAATATGTTTTATAAACAAAGTAAAAATTTCATTTTCATCTCGGTAAACAATCTAAAGCACAGTATAGTGATGATGATGATGATGTTTAGACATACCTGAATAATTCAAATTTTATTTAGGGAACAAAGTCTGAACATTTAGATCTTTGTCAATTACCACATTTCCATAAAAGCACCATCTCTTAGAGAAGGAACGATCAGATTCGATTTGTCACATGGTAACTAGACTTGAAAGAAAAAAAGCCTACTGTGGTTACTTAATCAATTATTAAAACTGCTGTAAAAATGAAGGCTTGAAACAGAAAGGTTGGGACACTGAAAAGGGCTTGAAGTGCACCCTTGCACCTCTGCTTCACCCCTGAATGGTTACCTTTTAAACAGGGATGACTAACCGCAAAGTGTACTAAATAAAATATCTGTACAGCAGTTAAACTCGAAATTACTAAGAAAAAGGAACTGCAACTTGTACTGTTCACATATTTAGCAAGCAATAAAACTTTAGAAGTTGAAGGCCCCCCCTTGGAGCTTTTGAAAAAAATGTCAGGTTTGTTAAGTATTACAGTCACAATAAAGCAAGTGTTTTGACACATCAAGCTCCAACACCTAAATAAAAAAGAACGAATGGAAACAGTCCTGAAAGAGGTGTGGATTTCTGTAGAACCTTTTCAGGATACAGGAAACCCTCCCTTCAGCTGTCTAAAAGGACACATTCGTAGGTATTGAACCTTCTCCTACTGTCCTACCTCAGCATTCTGACAAACAGGTCTTACTTGTGCTCCCAACAGACCCTGCAGGTAACCATTTAAAAAGCTTACCTTATTACAGTGGCGCCCGATACCCATTAGAAAGTTGTCTGGCTTGATATCTCTGTGGATGAAATTCTTTGTGTGCACATACTCGATTCTGCTGATCATCTGCAAAGAAAAGGTAACAAAAGCACCCTCCTCAGTTTCCCTCTAAAAGCACTCATGTCTCAGGCACAGGACATGTTAACAGTTAATCTGTCAAAGGTTTACCATCTCGACAAGCCATGCAAATACAGCCCCTTTCATTATGTGAAATTGTAAGGTGACCTAGATGCATGTTATAAGCTATGCAAAACAGTTTCTCGGCACCGAAATCTTTCTCCACTTCAGCTCTTAATCAAAGCCCATTCCAAGATGATCCACACAAGAGTGTGCTTCTTAGCTCACAGTAAGTGGAAATCATACTGACTTGTGAGCTCGCCCACCAGCTCCAGCCAAGCAGCAAGTGCAAACTATACATGCTGCCACAAAGAGTGTATACAAGTGTGCAACGCAACTAGTGATTAAGAAAAACGCTATGGCTCAAGGTATCCAACTGTTTCCTCTTCAATAAAACAAAGTATTCATGGCACAAAACTTTAGTTAAAAGCAAAACGTCTAAAATTGCATGGTTTAAGGATATGGAGCAATCTAAAGACGTGCAAAAAGAGAGTGGCAGTTCACAGGTTGTGTAATCATCGCCCCTGTCACCCCATCATATTTCAACACTCCCTGGCCAGCCAGCGGCTTACCTGGTCTGCTAGCATCAGTACGGTTTTCATTGTAAACCTGCGCGAGCAGAAGTTGAAGAGATCCTCCAGACTGGGCCCCAGGAGATCCATCACTAGGACATTGTAATCCTTCTCTTGGCCATACCACCTGCAAAACAACACGCATATCCGTCACCAACATCCGTCCCTCCATATATAGGGAGATAGGGAGTAATATAATCCACTCATTTGTCTCATCCAGCCCATTTGTTAACAGCTAATTGAACCACCGATGTCATCCAGCTGTGTCCCGAAAGACGCCATGGTTCAGCTTCAATAACATGACCGAGTAGCTTGCATCATAATTCCCTGCGTAAAGAACCGCTCCTGTTCTCAAGTTTAAGTGTGCCATCTCTGTTCATTCTGAAAAAGCCCGCTCGGTTGGGACTGTCGAAGCCTTTGAGGATTTTGAATACTGGAGTCAGGTTACCTTGTAGTCCTCTTTGTTAAGAAGTCTAAAAACGTTCAGCTCTCCCAGCCAGATAGTGTAGGAGATTCATTTAAGCTCTGGTGTTCTCCCCCTACCAGACACACTTGTCGGTTTTAAGGTGCCTTTTTGAACTGGGGTAGCTTCACTACACTCACCCTTTTCAATAAATTAATTTGCAAATGTACAGCATGGTTATGAAGTCACAATCAAGCTGAGAAAAAACTCGTAGATGGGAATCCCTCCCTCCACAGCCAACAGTGATCCCAGCTGCACTGCCTTGGAACTCCAAATGAAATAGATGAAGTTTCTTTCTCAGAGGATTTTCTAACCCAAATACATGCCTATATATATATACACACACACCACTATGCCATCATTCCTCTCACATCCAGGAGTGAATATTCTTATAACAAAGCCTGAGAGTAAAAAAAAAAATCAAAATAGTATTTCAGGAGTATTAAATCACAAAGTCATGAATGATTGCCAAAGTCAAGGCTGTTTCTCCATGGAAACAGACTGATAATGCAATACGTAATCAGCCTACTGTTTGTGCCCCACAGACGAATTCAATGGCACTGAGTAAATCCTGTGATGGCCATGAAGGGTTAAAATTATATACAAAAAAAAATTAGTTAATACCCAGGTCTGCAATGGTCCAGGTCCAAAAGTACAACCATCTTAAAATTATAGCTTTATGTTTTACAGTGAAATTTAAATGTCTAGGAAAAGGCAAAAATGGGTGGCAGTCAATGGCCACATGTCTTTAGACACAAAGGCGGGTATCAATTACTTTTCTAAGTACATTAAACACCCAGTTCTTCCCACAGCCCCAGCACTGTTATTACCGAAAGGCCAAGCAGACTGTGAAATTGCAGGCCTGTTCACAGCTAACTGCTACCCAGAACTGAAACAGGGGTCAAGCTGGAGAGGTGCGCCTGCAGACGAGCCTTGCCTCACAGCGAGGAAGGAATCCTCAAAGAGAAGGAGACATCTGTGTACGCTACATAAGTGAGGCGGAATAAAATTCACCTTTGTTTACAAATTTAAAATGCTTGAATTTAAATCCCAGTGAAGCACTACGCAAAATGAGTTAAAGGTTATTCAAGTGGATAAAACCCACAGAAAGCCCCAAAGTTCCCAGCAGCTCAGCAGTCTGGGAGAGTGGGGCATTCAAGTTTTCTTTAAAAAAAAAAAACGCATAAAAGGGAGTTAACTGATAAGATCAATATGACCAAAGGAAAGGGGGTCATACAGAAAGCCCTGCATGACTGCAGTAAATTTGTAGAACAGCACTCTGAAGGGAACAGAGAGGAGAGAGGAGAACAGCACACTCAGCTGATTTAGAGAAAGGACTGTGTCATGAGATCAGTGAATGTGCCAAATAAACTTCACCCGTTCCACTACTGGGATTAGTGCTGATGCAAGAGAAACAAGCCTGGGAAACTGATGTACAGGAGGGAGAACTCACCCTTACCTTACTCAGCACTCAGCTGGAGATTCACCAGAAAGGAGCAGGAGTCCTGCCACTGCTAATCAAAACAGGGCTCAACCATACAGGCTTCCTCTCTCATTACCCAGGGAAACAAGCCCATTGTTCCCAGAGAACCATAAAGACCAAAAAAATCCTGGATTTAGCCAATGGCCAGGATCAGGACTATGTCACAACCCACGTCACAACTGCATCAAGCAAACTGCAAGCTGGGAGCAATGACGTAAAGGCCACCAGAAACTGGACTCTTTCATGTATTCTTCCTCATGAAAACAATACCACTGAATACATTTGGCCTATTTCAGAGCAATAGAACCCTCTGCATTATAACAAAAGGCATAATCAATTTTATGTATATTTTCTTCTACTGTTAGCCTCAAATTCAACCCCAGATGCGTTTTCAACACTTTCGTCATTGGAAGAGATTTCATCAAACTTCATAATAATATCAGTACATTTCCATCCCCCCGTGGCAACTGTGGCAGTGAAAAAATTATAATTTCAAATTGGCTCTTTCAGAACTAATTTACATAAAAGGAAAACTGGTGCATAAGAAGAATCAAAATGATCCTGAATCATGCATTGCAAATTATCCCATGATGTGTTTAACATTTGCTACTTTACTTAAAAACAGTGTTTTTGACGAAGAAAACGCTTTGAGGAATAAGGCTGTTTTTAACAGAAACCACATTCAAATCGTCAGTGTACACACTCTGCATTAAAGCATGTGGCATGAAGATAAGGCAGCAAGTTTTAAAAAATTCTCAGCAGGAGGACGCCCACGAACATTTCACAGAAACACCCCTTTAAAAAGAGGAGATACTACATAGAGCACATGTGCTACAATAAATGTGGGAACAAATGGTAATTTAAAAATGAAGTGCCTGAAAAAAAAATTACTGAAGTTGAACAACTTCAAAATTAAATCAAAGTGTCTGCAACAAAAACTGACGTCCTAGGATATTTGAAAGACCAGTAAAGATGATCATGGCACAAGATGCAAAACGACATGAGAAAACAATTGCCTTATCTCTTTGTAACCTAATCAATAGCTCAGGACACAGGACTGAAACGACCGAGACGTTGTGTAGATTGTGGACCTTAATAATTGAGTTTTAAAGGCTAAACTAAATTAGAGAAAATGCTTAAAATTTTCTGATACCAAATCAGTTTAGTTCCTCCAGCTTTTTTAAGCACAGAGAACCAGGTGAGAATCCTGCAGCAGTGCATGAATGAACCACATGACAAAAAAATACGCCAACAATGAACAACCCAAGTCAGCAAGCAACAGTAATGCTGAACACTGAAACAAAGAAGCTGTGGCAGAGAATCAGGTCCGTCATTGATGTAGCAAGCTCAAGAGATTTAATGCCCCTAAAATGCCCTCAGATTTTACATCCTTATGTATATGAAAGGATCACGGCAAGTGTAATGTGCTGAAGATCTTACATTGTGTATTTTGAACTGCACACAAGCGATACCTAAGCAATGCTTCCCGGGCATTTCAGTAAATACAACACCACTCGGTAGGCAGCTGCACTATAGGACAAAACTGGCCTATGCAAAATGACCTGCAATCATGTTCGTTATTTTACACTTAATATCAAAGAGAACCATTAACTACAGCAAGCATATCCAAGAGCTTAAAAATACTTACCTTTGCTACTATTCTGTTAATTGCTAGGCCAAGAAAATAGGATAATAATGTGCAAGATTTTGTTGACCACAACAGTCTACAAATCAGCACCAGAAACTTGGGCAAACAGGAAGCAGATATGCATTTTTCAGGAATGTAGGAGGGGAGAAATTCACTAGTTTCAAGAGACACTTTGTGAGATGTGAGCAAAAGTACCTGTCGAGTCAGCAGCACAATTGACTCACAGAGTTCTCACCTTTCGCTTATGACTGACTCAACCAGCTTATGACAAATATATCCCAGCATCTTATTTGTTGAAAACTATCTAAAATAAAAGTGCAGAATGCAAAATAAATGGTTTCATTAAACGCACATCAAGAACACTGTAAACCAGGGAGAACGATTGACGATTGAAAGAAACAAATTCCTACTCCTGTTCCGATTGGCAGTGGTGCAGCGAAGGTGGACACTTTCTTCCTTAAGCTCTCCATGGCTTTGGAGGCTGTTTATTCATCTGCTTCCTACACTCCCTTCAGAGAGTGTTAAGAGCATGATGTTCCTCTCCAGATTTGCATTTCAGAGACACGGCACCGAGGCGTCACAGACAATGGAAGCAGCAAGCAGCCCCCAGCTACAGAGCACTCCACATCATGACAGCCATTGAGAGATGCTGAAGCCTCACCGCCTCGGAATACCCCTCAGCGGGAAACAATCAGGCTGCCAGACCTCCACACATTGCCCATTTCTCCTACGCAGGAACCAACAGAAGCCTCGGTTTGTCGGTTTGCTTACTCTATAACAAGCCAGGGGTCAGGCACTGTCCATTCACATTCGAACTCTCAGGGCACTTGATATTTCCTGTTCTCACTCTAGTGAGTCTAGTACAGGCCTTCTGTTATCAGACATACACAAGAAATACTCTGCAGTGCTGCCCTTTACCACTACATTTTCCTACCTACACAAAAAGGGTTAACATCTCTAGTACAATGTATCAAACAATTAAGCTTCTTTATCCAACCTTTTACCCATAGAGAAGTCCAACATATACAAATTCAAGTGAAACCTCTACTCCTAGGTGTAAGCATGCTAAATGTAAAACATTATAAAGCTTTCCAGGGGTGAAGCCCACCACTCTTCCACAGAAGAGATGAGCACATTTTACGGAAGAATGGAAATTTAACCGAAATTCGCAATGACTTTGGTTGTACATGTGAAGGGAGAGGCAACTTGTTAAGCAAGTTAGGCACCTTTTCAGGCGCTTACAAAGGTCACTGCAGTACACAGATCAAAAAGTATCTTCCTCAAAAACCAATACAAGAACGTCATTGTAAAGGTCACTAGTTATCATTGGTGGACATCTGTATTTTCAACTTGGCAGTTAACACTATCTATTCCTTTGGTATAACGATTGCTAAAACATTCTGCTTTTTCAACAACAAAAACAAAGCCAGTCTAATTTGTTAGTATGAAATTTTCTTACAAGCATTATTTGTGTCTTTCTGTGTTGGCCACTGAGAGATTACAAGAGAATTTCAACTACAAAGCTTCAGGTAA